CAGAAGAATTCACGGAGGCATCAGTAACGACTGCGTCTTTTGCATTACGCTTTCTTTCACCGATTTATAAAACCCACAGTTTTGCTTCAGAGTCTTTGATGGGGCTACAGGTGTGGCTGAGTGGTAGTGTGTGTGCTCAGCACATGCAAAGCTTGGCTCAATCCTTAGCACTTAAGAGAAAAAGGGTGTGGCCGATGAAGTAGTGAAAACGACCAGTTTTATTAAAGTTTGGCCCCACACCGCACGTCTCCTAATCAGATGGGAGGCACATTTGTGGCCTTCTGCCCACAAAGGGTCAGCGGCTGTCTCCAAGAGAAACACCTGTGTCGGTCTGAGGGGCGAGCTACACCACTGCTTTTGGAAAGCCCACTTGTGCCTGAAAGAACGACTTGCCCAGCAGCCTGGTGTCTGAAACCCAGTGAACTACGCTCACAAACAAGCTACAGGGACCCCTTACTGGTAGGAAAACAATGGGCAGTATTTGCTGCAAGTGGCAAAAGTTGGGCGTTCAAGCCAAACAATCTGAATCCTGGTAGCCGTGATCTGCCTCCGTGGCTTTAAAAGCTTCTCTGAACTGTTCTGATGACATCAGAGGCGATGCTGACACACGGACTGGACGACACTGTGTGAGGAAACGCGCTGATCAGCGTGTGATGTTTAGAGAATCACTCTCCGGCCGGGGATGTAGCTCAGTGCTGCCGCCGCCCGCCTCGCAAGTGCAAGGTCCTGAGTTCTATCCCCAGTACCAACAAGTAAATAAATAAGTTCATACATACAGACAGACATACGTACAAAGAATTACTCTCTGTCCAACACGCAAATGGAATCGATGGGGCAGAGAGCCAAGGCTTCTCTGGCTAAGGTTTTGGATCCCACATTACAATGAGCTTTTAAGAGAATCCCGCACTGAGTTCTAGCACAGCACCAGAAGAGAGTATCCACAATTACGTGATAAGGCAATTATTCCACGCCTCTGTTTTCCAACCACATATCTGCGGCGCCCAACTTTACATTAAACGATAAACCACGACAGGCTGCGCGATCAGAGGGGGCAGCAGGCTAATCCGAGCCAGGCATCAAGCAATTTTCGCACAACTATTGTTTTTTTTTAAAGCTGCTCTTTACTCAAGTCTTTTTGTTTGAGAAAACAGTTACTTTTAATTCAAAAATAATTTTATTGGCCGGGGATTTAGCTCAGTGGTGACGCTGCTTGCCTCGTAAGCTCAAGGTCCTCAGTTTGATCCCCGGTATTAAAAAAAAAAAATTTATCTATGCTGGCATATAGTGGGTTTATTACAGCTATTTAAAAATAAATTAGTAAAGGTTTAGACTTTTTTCACTTTTAATTTCTGGAAAGGTCAGTAGCAACAGATTTAAACCACAGAGACTAAAACTCTAGGGGGTCTTCCATTTCAGAAGCATGTAAAGCGGTTTTCAGGCCAAAAAGTTTGAGAAATCCTGCCTTAAGGAAACGAACAGGGTTACCTTTGCTGTCCTGTCCTATAATGGCAAAAAGAAAGAGATGGAGAAACAGTACAAATGACTCAAATGTCCACTAACAGGGAAACGATTACATAAATTACAGAACCTCCATTTGGCAGAACATTACACAGTCATTAAAATTATGTTTTCCAGGAATATTTATTTGTTGTGGGAAAATGCTCAGCACATTCAACACGCTGTTAGGAGATTAGCAAAGGGAAGAGGCCAATTTTCATTGCCGTCATTTCTGCGAGGCAAGCCGTGACTGCGAGGCTTGAGCGCCCCACAGACGGCCCGCGCGGGACCAGGGCCACTTCCACACTCACAGAGGCTCAGCTCTTCCTCAGCCGCAGGGCTTTTGTTTCTAAGCTCAGCACCCAAACTCCTTAAGCAGACAGCCCCGAGCGCCCGCCTAAGGGAACAAAGGAGGGATCTGAGCCCCCGCCTCCCCGCCGCCATTCTCTGCACCGCTTTGAGGCTGGCACCGTGGACTGGACTCCAGGTGTCTGCTCCTAATCCTCTCCATTTTCCCAGCACAGGGGCACTGGCTGTTCACGCGCTGCCCAGCATCTGCCGTCAACTCCGCTTGTGTGTCTGTCTTCACGGTCCTCATTATGGCATCAAAATCCCTCCTCGAGCCCCAGCCTCCTCCTGCCCACATCTGTCTGCAACTTCCACACCCTGTGCTGCGCTTGCGAGGAAGCGTCTCACATACGGCTCTGGGGAAGTCCAGCAGGAGGTGTGGTGGCTGGGGTGCCCACTTTGATGCCCTGCGGGGACGCCGCTGCCCCGAGCGGGGATGAACTCAGGGCGTGTCACAGGTCTGGGCTGCCTCCAACCGGGTACGACGGACAGATCCAAGGAGGCTGCCCGGCCCTGCCCAGCTGATCGTCACTCAGAACTGGGCACGGAGCCAAGCAGTTTATATCTCATTTAATCTTCACAGACCATGAAGCTGCTACTATTATTGGCTCCAATCATAAGCAACACAGCTATTATTATCCTCAGCAAAGGAACTACGTGTGATTCGGGGAGGCTGAGTAATCTATCAAAGGTCACACAGCTAGAAAATAGGAGAGCAGGGCTTGGAGTCTGGGGCTGACGACTCTGGAGCCTGCCGTCCTCAAGACTGAACCGGTGGCCTTGTCTGCCCCATCCAGGCCAACACCATTCCCAGTGACACGCAGAGGTGCAGTGGTAAAGTGTCTGACTGCTGCTAATTAGCTCCGAGACCCTGGCCAAGTTACTTGACCCTCACACATCTCAGTGTGTGACCGCTGGGTTAGGAGCTCCTAGCAGGACTGGAGCCTAAGAGAGATAACATATTTAGTGTACTCATCGAGCTGTCCCCAAATCCTTGCTGCCCGTATTGTGACTCCTACAAAGAGGGCACCTCGTGGGGCAGATCGGTAGATGGGACGTCGTCTGTCCCAGAGGTGGAGAGCAATGCCTGTCTGGCAGCACTCAGCGTGTTTAAAAACAGATTTGCACGCGGCAGATTCATCCACACGTGCTGGAAAAAAGCATATAAAAGCCTCTAGAAATAAAAAGTTCATGAGTTTTAAATAACTTTTGGTCCAGTACACTATTGTAAGTGTTGTTTTATTAGTAGCCTAATTTATAAGGCACTGTGCACAGCAGAACACGCGGGAGAGTCTGGCACCGTCTGCGGTTTGAGGCATGTGCAGAATGCCCTGGGAGTACCCCAAACGCAGAAGCGGGGGCTGCAGGGGACAGGACACACTTCAGGGCAGGCTCCCCCTTCACACACATAGCCCCCCTCTTCAGTTCACGGCTCCTCTCGGAAGCCATCCCTGACCCATCACTCTGGTCCAGAAGGTTAAATCTGTAGAAGCTGATGAGGTCTGAGGAGCTGGGGAGGGACAGGACAGGAGCCCGGGCCCAGGAACCTCTTCCTCCCAGGTCCATAGGACACTGGAATTCGGATCCCAGCCAGGCACGGGGAAGGCAGGTCTGTCCCTGGAACAGGTCTAGGAAAGGAAGCTGAGACAGAGTTTGGCTACTCACTGCGCCAGTCCCAGCTCCACAGGAAGACTGCAGCCTGGGCTGGCCGCATCTCTCTCGGGAAAGTCCCCGGCGGGGCTCCCGGCCCAGAGGGGAAAGAGGCTGTGAAGCCCGGAAGCTGACACTGAAGGGAGCTTCCAGGGGGCTGGAAAAGCACCCCTACGGGTGAGAGGAACGCCGAGCACACCGGGCCCACACCTCTCGGACCGGAAACAAAACCCCAACAGAAAGGAGGGTCCGCCTGCCTTTGGGAGCAACACGTATCGCTGAGAAGGGTCCTCATCAAGCATGCCGAGGGCTCTGGATGGGCTCACCCCGAATGATGACACCCCCAACTCCTGGGGGGGGTGGGGGGGTGCTGCACACGCAATGGCCAGCGACGGGCCACTTCTGGGGGAGCCTGCTGTGCCAGACAGAGCTGACTCACCGCCGGCAGTGCACCCCGTGCACCCCGCATCCCAGGTGCAGCCCCAGGAGGCGCGGCCACAGCTGCAAACAGCGGCAAGGCAGGGCTGCGGTCAAGCTCCTGCCGAGGGAACATCAGGGCCTGGGTATCTCACAGACCAAGCAGGGCAAGACACCCACCACTCTGAAGTGTGCTCTGGGTGGTTAGGGCAGAATCGGATTCTTTAAGCCAAAATTCTGGGCTCTCTTTAAGAGCATGACAGCGAACCTAACAAACCGGCTTTGGCATCACGGATGAAATTTCAGAGTAGCAATTGTAAATGCTAAGCAGAGAGCAGGTTGCAAAGTTTCGTTGCTTTGTTTTCTGTTTTTTCTTCAGGAGAAGCAAAGACATTCAGAGGCTCGGGAGAACCAACGCACACCTTAAAGGCCCTTTTCTCCCCAGATGGTTTGTACCCATGTTCTCCAAGCACAGTGCCAGTTGGGGGGTTAGACAACGGCTTCTGGCCCTTCTCAAAGAACCCCAAGGCTTCCCTGAACCCCAGAATGTGAGTGGAGAGAGGGAGACACAGCCATGAGGGCTGTGGGGACCCGAGCAGCAATTCCACTATTCACTGGTTTCCTCCCTTCCTAAAGCAATTTCTGCTCACACAGTGGTCATGGGTCCATGGCCCGACTCGTTGAGAGGCCATCTGGGCCCTCGAAACTCATCACTGTCCAACTCCGCCCCCAGGCCCAGGTCTGGATGCCACACAGCCCAGCGGAAAGCGGTGCAGGACCAAGCGATGTGGCCCACCTGTTCCCAGGGGTCCACCATGCACCAGAGAGCAGCGTGGGACATAAACACTTCTCCAGCCCAGAACCAGCCCGTGCACAAGGCACCACGAAGAGGGGCACTGAGAGTACAGGAGACGGGCACCCCCAGTGGCCACAGGAGCACCCTGGGCCACAAAGACACCAGCCCACCGTCCCCGCTGGGGGGAAGCAGCCGTGAGCAGCCACAATGGACATCGTCCGAGAAACGCAGGATCCCCACAGCAGAGCCAGGTGCGGCGGGAGTCCCGGCGGGAGCAGCGCGCGTCACTCACCCTGCAAGGCCTCTCTGGCTCTGGACAGCTCCTGCTCCTTCTGTGCCAGCTGCACCCTGAGCTCAGTGGCTGAGAGGACCTCGGAGGCCTTGCCGCCCTGTGACTCCTCCAGGTCCTTGGCCAGCATCTCCTTCATCTGCCGGAGAAGGTGCACTTCCTCCTGGAGCCAGGACACTTCTTCCCGCAGGAGCACTAGGGGAGAAGGGCACAGGGTTAGTGGATGCCGCTCGCCAGCTCGACCTGGGGCTAGTGTTGTCCCGCGGCCGGCAGCGCACCACGCTTGGTGAGCACTATTTCATTTGCGGCCTGAAAGCTGAGTGAGGTACGGTCACACCTCTTTCCAGACCAGGATGTTGAGGCGTGGAGAGATTTAGCATCAGCAGGAGGCCCCACAACCCGATGAAGTGCGGCCAGGTTCAGAGGTCCTGTTCTACGCGGGCAACAGTGCTGGAGCCACACTCGCCACGGAGCACCCAGCCCACGGGGCTCCCCAGCTCGCTGCCCTGCACGAGATAGGCATGGCACCACGGCACAGGCACGTGGTCTGGCCCTGCATCCAGCAGGTCCCCAGGGATGAGCCCAGGGACGGTGTGGTGTCTTCTCAGGCTCTGGGGCATGCCCCAGACAGGGCCCATGCACTGGGGACACCGACAGACCCCGAGCAGCGTGGGGTCTGTTCAATCCTCAGCCGAACTGCTAGACGGGAGGTCTGCTTTAGGGCCTGCCCTGCCCTCAAGCCATGGCCAGCCCTGGTGGGCACCGAGCTCCGGACCCAGAGCAGGTGTCCAGAAGGCAGGAGAGACATCCAGGCTGCCTTGAAGTGCCACCAGCAAAATGCACAGGAGGGCTGCCTGTGCTCGGAGCACTAGGCCCCCCTCTTGAGGAAGGGGAAGGGAACAGCATGAGCAAAGGCTAGGAGGCTAGAAAAACAGAGGGCTCTGAGCCACCAGTACCTGGAGATGCAGTGAGAAGGAGCAAGAGGGTAGCCTGAGGGGTCAGATTATAAAAGGTCTTAGCCCTGGGCTCACCCCAGAGCTCTCACTCTCGCTTGTCATCTCCAGCAGTACTCAAGGTTCTGGAACTTTCCACCCTACATCAACACACTCCAGTTGCCCATCCTGCTGGGTTTTCCTCTGCTCCCACTCGACTGTCACGGAGGAGCTGTTCACAACCAAGTGCCTATGGCTGCTAACGTGTGTGCATGTGGGTACCCTCACCAAGCAGGCAGAAGACAGGTATGGTTTTCATTTTTGTTTGCCTCCCTTTGTGCAGGGGACTGACTTCTAGGCTCCCTCACACCACCTCAGGAAGTGGCCAGTCATTTACTGTCATCTACAGAGAAGGCAGCGATGCTGGTCAGGGCTGACTTGTGACCCTGTGCGGGTCCCGTGCCATTCACAGCATCTGCAGTGTCCTCGTGTCCGGGGGAGACACAGAGCTGAGGCTGGGCCAGGGCCCTTGCAGGCATTTGTGCTCCTTGAGCGCCTCCCCAACAGCCTCTCTGAATGGAGATTTTGCTGCTCTCACGGGCCCTGAACAATCACTCGGGAGCTGGGGCGGCAGCACACAAGTGTGGCACCTGCAGCAGCGGGGCCTTAGGGGACTGGGCTGGAAAAACAACTCTGAGGAAAGCAGAGCAGCTCGCTCGCCGCTTACCCAGCACACCTGCCCCAGGTGAGTGTGGAAGTCAGGTGTCGTGGACGAACAGGACCACAGGTACAGCGGGCCTGAGCCAGACCGAAGCCCCGGGGGCCATGTGAACCTGTCCCCTCCCCAGCCTCACCTGTGAACCACGGGAGACCGGAACAAGGAAGGTGGGGGTGGGGCTTGATGGGGAGCACTAGCCTAGCAGGAAGCAGGTACCAGGTACTCCCCAAAACCTCAAGAGACATGAGCATAAGGTGTGAAAACGTGCCTAGCACACTCATGCTGTGTGGGCGCCAGCAACGTCCACAGCTTGTCCTCCCCTCAGTACAAACCACTTTCCTCAGAAACAACAACATGAGTTGGAAGGCTTGGATTCTGTCTCAGAGGGCCACTCCCTTGCTACGTGAGGGTGGACAAGTCCCTGTCCCTCGCTGGGTCTTTGAAGCACCGGTACGCAGCAGGCCCAGGCCCTGGTGACAGCTGCACTGCGCACCACAGTGGCCACCAGGATGGGTAATCAGTGCACACACAGCGCCGTGGCAAAGGCTCGGGACCTCGCAGCACGCCCCGCATGACATCCTCGTGGTCAGCATGGTCCACACAACATGAGACGGAGCAAGAAGAAAGGGTATTTGTTAGGCAGCATGGGCTCTGAGGGCAGGAGAGCTGCAGGGGAAAGAGCTGCCCTCTCCAGAGCAACCGTCCTGGCCCGTGCCCAAGGACAGAGCACCGACAGTGATTGTGTACCTTTCTGCGGATGCCAGGCAACCACCATCGTGCCTGGTCCCGGGGCGGGGCAGGAAGAGGTAGAAAAGCAGGCCAAAAAAAGCCCCAGACTCAGCAGTTTTCTGGTCCCCCGGGAAGCTGCTCTCACAAACACCAACCATGCTGCCCCAGGGCAACCTGTCCAGCAGGCAGGCCGGGGGACCGGCCATACTCGGTGGCAACAGGGGCTGGGAAAGACTGACCTTTTTTTTTTTGGTACCGGGGATGGAACTCTGGTCCTTGCACTTGCAAGTCAGACCACCGAACTGCTGAGCTAAATCCCCGGCCTAAGACTGACCTTTCTGTAGCTCAACTTTTTTAGTGCACCAAAGCTGAGTCTTGCTTTCGAAAGTGTGAGTTCCCAGCCTCCCTTGGAGTTACCCATGTGACCCAGTTCTGCCCAATGAGGTGTAGAGAAAACTCCCTGAGGAAAAACAGCTTTGCCCCGTCAGCCCCTTTTATCTTGAGAAGCAGACTTACTGGCTGTAGAAGTAGCAGCCACCTAGTAACACGGAGGGTGTCCGTAGGACCTCTAAGGTTCTCGGTGAGTTACAGGAATATAAGTCCAGCCTCCTCAAACCAAGGTCTAAATAACAGTACAATCACTAAATGTTATAACAATTCCACCTTTGCTAATATTACCTGAGCTCACACTGTTTTTTACATGTCTTCACGTCTTCACTAGACTGATTCTCCAAATAACCCTAAGAGGATGTTCCTATACTTATGACCCGGAATACTTTTTTACATGTCTTCACTAGACTGATTCTCCAAATAACCCTAAGAGGATGTTCCTATACTTATGACCCGGAATTTACACACGAGGAGTTGGAGGCACAGGAGTTAAACGAGTGGATCGAGGTCACAGAGCTGAGCCAGAGCTGGGCATGAAGGCACAAGCGTATGATCCCAGCTACTCAGGAGGCTGAGGCAGGAGAATCACAAGTTCAAGGTCAGCCTGGGCAACTTAGCGAGATCCTACCTCAAAATAAAGAGGACTGGGGATGTAGCTAAGTGGTAGAGCACTTGCCTGGCAAGTGGAAGGCCTGGGTTCAATCCCTAGTACTGTTTAAAAAAAAAAAGCAGAGCCAGGGTTTGAACTCTGGGTGGTCCAGCCCCTCACCCTGGGTCTCGACTCCGACACAAGAGCCGCAGGACAGCTCACATTCTGAGAAGAGCACTGATCACGACAGCAGCGTCCCCGTGCAGTACATGGCGGATCTTCTCGCGTGACAGAGCACGATACAGGGCGATACGGGGGTTTCCAGAGCCAGCGGAGCTGAGTCCCAGCCAGGCCTGCTTTGGTGGCCAGCGTGGGTGGGAGGAGCCCCAAGCTGAACTCCCGGGCAGGTGGGGCTCTGGTTTCCGCCCTCCCCCAGGCTCAGGATCCCTACAGCTTGAAGGCAGGGGTTGCGCTCTGTCCGGAGACATTGGCTCACAGCTTCAGGCTCTGGCCCGGGGAGCCACGGGTGGGGCGTGGGGCGGATGGTCTGGAGTGTGCCGTGGGGCGGCCCGGCCCTTCCACTTGCTAGCTGGTCTGACCCGTGCACCTGTAACCTCTGGCCTCGCAGCTGAAAATGAAGCCAAGCCGGTCTCTCGAGCCTGCGGTAAACTATTAAACAAAGCAGTTGTCTAAATGGAAATAACTGCAAAGGTTGAAGGTTCTAAATGGGGTCACGGGTGCCTCACCAGGGTCCTCACGATGATGAAGGGCAGCCTCTACCTTCCTCCAAGGGCTGGCCACAGCTCCCACAACCTAAGGTGGCCGTGACCTCAATCACCACAGGTCCAGAGGCTGGGGCGCCCCCACCCCAGAAGGCTGTGGTAGGGGGCAGGGCATGCAGCCTGAGTCACTAAGTCTGGTGGGGAGGAGAGAGCAGGGGGCTGAGTGGAGGCCAGGCGGAGGTGAGGTCCCGAGTCTGGGCTGGGAGTGACCGTCCCTGGCTGCCTATCGTGGGTGGACACCTTGACAGACAGCCAAAACTCCCTGATCCCAGACCACAGACTGAAGACCTCTGCCTTTATGATGTGTCAATTATACCTCAAAGCAAACAAAATCTAAACAAAGAGATGAAGTATTTCGCATTTTCCATTAAAGACTCATCTTTACAGGCTTCCCACTAAAACAAATCCAGGGACAGGGCCAACCTGCCTGCGTTCCCTGCCAGCTCTTGGAGCGCACTTTGGTCTGAGCCCTGCTGACCCTGGATGGTGACGTGAGGAGGTGCTGCACATCCACACGTCCAGGAGATGCTGGGGCAGTCACCTGAGCTAACTACACACCGTGGGAATAAGTCAAATGCCCAGAGAACAATCCCACGCGCAACACAGCCAGGAGAGGTCACTTCTGGGTGCTGCAGCCCACCACTGTCCCGTTACTACCTCAGAGCCCACGGTGCTGGCCCTTCCGAGCACCTGGCAGCCATCACTGGGTGACAGGCTTTGTCTCGCTGAGTCCCCACACTGACCCCGTGCAGGGATGTGGGATCCCACTTGACACGCGAGACGCTGGAGAGGCACAGGTCGAAGCTGCCCACCCAGACTGGTGCCACCCAGCTGGCCTTGTTCCCACCGGGCTTGAGCCACTGCTGCCCAAGCGGTGGCCTTCGTACATCAGGAGGATGCTGGTTCCAAAGACACTAAAGAATAGGGAGCTACCCCCTGAGGGACAAAGTCTCAAGACGGACACAGGACTCGGAGCCCAGGCTCCTCAAACTAAACAGTAACAGGAGCGAGGTGACAACGCACCCAGTGACGCCTGAACACAGGGCAGGTAGGGAGTCCTGAAAACAACCAGAGAAGGGCCCAGGGCTAGGGGTCTTTGCCAGTGGACCAGGGCATCCTGTTCTGCCTTCTCCAGCGGCAGTGAGTGGCAGGGAGCAGGGGCATCTTGGCTGTCCCCGAACACACATCCACTGCCTTCATCGGGGACAGCAGTGACACTTTCTGGGTCCCTAGTGCACAACGGGGCAGGTGTATTAATTCTCGATCCTCACAAGATACCTAGGGAAACTCATCTTACAAACAAACCCAGGTGGTACAGTGACCCTGCAGTCCAGCCCAGGCATCAGTAACCACAGAGTCACTTACGTGCCTCTCCTGCGGGAGTGGCAGCTGCCAGCTGTCCTCAGGGCAGGCGAAGCCGCGTGCTCACTCCCGAGGCCAGAGCTACACAGAGAAGCCTTGAAGGCCTTTAGAAAGGCACCGCTGTGGGCATCCTTTCTGGGTGCCCAGGGGGGCTGGAGTCCTAGGCCTCGACTGCAGCTGCCCAGGACATACAGGGAGCACCCCTGTGCGCTGGGACAGAAAGATGGGGACCGCCGTCTCAGAAAAGCCAGCCCCAAGGCACACCGCACGAGTGGCCACCCCTCCCCCTCTCCCCCTGCCCGGTCCCAGTGTGAGGAGCGGCCCCCATCTCCCCCGGGCTGGCTCTCCTGTCCCCCAAGGCCCTGCCCGTGGAGACAGGGCCTTTCAGATCAGAAACCGGTCCTAGCAGCAGGCAGGTGAGAACAGGGACCATGGCTTGCAGATTTCTGTGTTCTCAGAGTCTTTGTCACATGATCAGACACTTGCAGCCTTGAGGATGATGGAAAGCAATACACAAACCCCACAAAGGAGGGGCCTCTCAAAAAGTACCCGCCTGCCCCTGAATAATGTCCTGCCCACGGCTGCCCCAGGTCCTGTGGTCACCCTTGCACAGGTCTGGAGGCCTGGGCATTGCAGGGATCCCAGTAATGCTGCCTTTGTTTTTTTCTCACATTTCACATCTTTGTTTTTCCTTTGGGCTTTGTTTAATCCTTTTCCCTGCAGAGGGTGCTGGGCCTGTGACAAAGCTTTTGGACAGATCCTCCTTGGGGTCCTCCTTCTAGGCTAAGCTTTCCCCTCGGCTGTGCCCATCTTGGAGCAGGGCCCTCAGAGGCAGAGATACGTGTTAGTCCCTGGGAAGTGGAGAGATCTAAAACCTCCCTCCAGCAGTCCTGGACCCCAGGATGGGTGGCACAGAATGTGGGGACTGCTGGAGGCCTGGGTGGGTCGCTTCCACGGCCAGAGCCGCACACAACTCCGGCAGCTGATGTTAGCGCCAGGAAGCACGCGAACTTCCAAACACACCATCAGGTTGGGTTGAAAGCGACAGTCCCCTGCCTGCCACCAGAGTCCTTCATGGACAGCCACAGCAATGACAGCTGGCTCAGTCCCAGAGCTGGGCCAGGGCCCTTGGTGGCTTCGAGGGGTCTTCTCCTGTCTGCTTGCTCACAAGCAGGAGGTGGGCAGCGGGAGGGCCAGCTGCCTCTTCCAACAGTCAAGGGGGACCAGAAGCAGCGAGCCAAAGCTGAGTCATGGCAAGTCTGGGAGGCTGGCGGGCACACTTGTCAAGCTGAACCACAAAGCCACCACTACTGCTGAGAGGCTACTCACCCACCTTTTCTATCCAAAGTTTCTATCCAAAGCTTCTCATCATCCACCAGACCTCGGATGGGCACCAGGTGCATCTGTCCAGCTGACATCTATGCCCCTTTCTTTTCGACAGGAGATTTCCATTTTCCCGCCCCCCACCGCCAGCAGCATCTGTATTTCAGTAATGGAAATGTGACTCAGTGTGACCAATCAGAGCACCAAATCACTCTGGCCATTGTGATTGGCTCAGAGAAAGCACATGACATAAGCCAGTCCAATCCGAGAGAATCTCTGGGCCAGATCCAGCTGCTCTCTCCAGTGGGGGGGCCTCAAACTAAGAGTATGGGGTATGGGGCTGTGGGCAGCCATCTTGCCACAACGACAGCAGCAAGCACCAACTGTTTCCTGTACCTCGATTCCAGCTTCTCTCCAGCAGCAGGGACCAGTCCACCTCTTCCCTAGCCTAAACCCTGGGTGGCACAAATCTTTTAGGTTCTTTGAAGCTGTTCCCAGACTATTCCTGCCCAAACTGGCCTCTTTCCTCTTTTCTCATCTGCCAGGTCTTTGAGCCGCACAGTTGCTGGGGACCAGCTGAAGGTCGTGGTCTGGCTTGGCTGCTAACTACGTGCCTGTCGCTGAGCCTGGGCTGCTGTTATCTCCCACCAACTGCATATAGAAGAGCTTATGCTCTGGCCTCCTTGCAGAGATGGAGGCTGGGACAGGTGGGCTGGCCATTCAGGGTCAGAGAGCTGGTCCAGGGGGCACAGCTGAACCCCAACTCAGAGTTCAGCCCGACTCCAAAGCTCATGTACACAAATAAACCAGGACCAGGCTCCCAGCCCGCCATACCAGGCGGCATATCTTTTCCCCAGTGAAACACCGGGTCAAAGAATTTGAATATAGAGTGACAAGTGAGGCTTTGAGCTTCTGATGATATATCTGTTGGCCAAGGCAAGGCGGCCCAGCCTTGCCTCTGGCGATGACCTCCCCACCAAGAAGGCAGACTCCTAAGGGAGGTCCCCACAGAGGCATGGCAGCCAGCGCTGGCCCTTCCGACTTCCTTCCCCACCCTACCAACGCAAAACCTTCACTCTTAGCCTTCCCCCGACTTCCCCGCTCTCCAGGAAGAAAAAAATGACAAAATACACAAAAACCTTCAGAAGGTTAAACGGGTTCCACCCGCAAGTGGCGACACAGCTCTTCCCTGGGCTGAGCGTGAAGCTCCCTGAAAACAGGGAGGAAAAGCCTCGCAGCTGCCGGGAGGGCGCTGTCCTCTCTTGCTTTCCCACCGGGTCTGTTTCCTCCTCCATCCAGTGAACCCACAAAATGCTGGAAGCTGCCAGCCCCACTTGCTGGAGAGCAGTCTGCCTCCAGAGCAACCTTCCCAAGAAGACGAGGGGAAAGAGCCGGATGGCCCTGTGCCAACCGCCAAACTGTCCACACCCTAGAAACAGGCTTAGATCGAGCCGTGTAGCCATCAGCTGGGGGTAAAGGCCTCAGCACCCAGAGGGCAGCTCCGGGCCCAGAGACGCCAACGATTATGCGCAGAGAAGACGGTAGCCAGGGCCAGGTGATGCTGTCACACTGAGGTGAGGCTGAAGTTCTGCATCTTACAGCAAGTGGACTGGGGCTTTCCGAGGAATTTAAACCAAGTCCAGACTGGACTAAACAAGTGGTGCAGCGCAGGGCTCACTGCCTCATTGGGAGCAGGGAACCACGGGTTCCTGCCATCATAGGGCCTCTGTGTTCCTCTGTGTCGTCTCAGGTACAAGCAGGGCTCTGAAACCAGCCCCCGGTTCAAATCCCGACTCTGCCCTTCACTGGCAGGTTACAGACAACTTCTCCGCCTCCCAAGGCGCCGTGATGTCACGTGATCGGCAGCTCCGGAAAGGGGCGTGGCCGGGCTGCAGTGCTCAGGGGATGCAGCGGCTGCGGCTCCACCTAAGCCCACCTGACCCCACCGGCCCGCAGCGAGCGGAGGGGGAGGCACATCTCGCGCCGCAGCTGCCCAAGTCCTCCCAAGCTGCAGCAGACTGCCCCAAGGTGGGGGCTCGCCAGCGCGGCAGGCACCCACAGACCCATGTAGCTCACTCGTTACCCTCCAGCCCAGCGGAGCAGCTGCTCCAGGAAGACATAAAATATGCTCTGAATACTTTAAATGTTTTGCTTATGAAAACTGGCAGGGCCGCCTCTCTAAGTTGTTTAGCAATAGAGTCACCACTAACAAGCTCAGTTTGAGCTTCTCACTGCGGGCCAGGCAGGTTGGGAGGGCAGCGGAGGGGCCCGGGCTTCCTGAAGGCGCCATTTGGAGTTTTTCAGAGGGGCACCGGGATCACATCCTCGGGTCGCGATGTGAAACTGGATCCTCTGTGCAAGCCAAGCCCCAAGCCAGTTGGGGCAGAAGGGAGGGCGCTTCCGGCCTGGGCCTTTTTCCCACACTGCAGGGCGCCCTGTTTTGCAGCCAATCGAGTTAACTGAAAAGTTACCTTGGGCTGAGAAAGCACAGGCCTGGGAGGGGGACTGGCTACAGGCCTTGGGGACTTTAGCAACTCGTACTCTTTAAAAGGCAGTCAACCCAAGGCCAGTGACACAGGAAGACTGGGGTAGGGCAGGGATGGAGCCCAGCAGGACGGAGACCAGTGCCCAGCCTGCCACCTCCTGTGGCCCAACCTCCCGACACGCAGACCTGTGGGCCGTGTGACCTCCAAGGACTTCCGTCTGTCTGAAGGACTGAGGAGACCCCCGATTCCACAGTGGCTCAGCCATCTCCGGAGGCCTCGGCAGTCCTGGCTTTTGAGAGCTTCGAAGTGGGAAGCCAGCTGGGCCCCCACCAACAGCTCCAGGCAGCCACAACCTCCAGGACGCGAAGTGACAGAGCTGACCAGAAAACACCCCAACCACACAGGCAGTGTAGGCCACGGAGCAGCCGTTATGGTGAAGACACAGAAAAATGTGGGGGTTCGAGGCAGGGAGCGGAAGTGAGGTGGGGAGTCAGGCCTGAGGGGGGCAGCACTTCTTCCCCACAGACTGTGACCCCGCAAAGAGCTGGGTGTGACGTGTGGTTCCAGGTACCTCCCTGAGTCAGTGGTAAGAAGCAGGGCCTGGAGAGGGGCCTGCCACGCACCCTGGGGGCCTTAACCAAGTCACCTTCCCTCTTGCTGCCTCCACTGCTTCATCTGTAAATGGGGCGGGGGGCACCTTTCCTACAGGGCTGTCATGAGGTCTGAATGAACATTCTCATCCAGCCTTAGCGGTGCACACCTGTAATCCTAGCCCTCAGGAGGCTGAAGCAGGAGGATCATCACAAGTCTAAGGTCAGCTTAGGCTACGTGGTGAGTTCGAGACCAGCCTGAACTGTTTAGTGAGACCCTGTCTTGACAAACAAAGAACAAGAAAAATAAGTGAACATTCTGGAACACGCTGAGTACTATATACAAATGCAGAGTTCGGTTATTTTCCCTCCTACTCCTCCCTTGAAAGCCACCGACTTTCGGTTCTAAGACCAGCTCCTGCCTGGCAGCACTCTCCCCAGGTCCACCAGGGACTTCTGGAATCTTCCGTCCAGGCCCACACATGCATCATTCGGAGTGAGGATCCCAGCAGTCGACTCCAGCCCACGCCCTGGAACCCCCTGGCCTTCTCTGCCTGACCCCCAGCTCCCTCCAGTTTACGGACTGAGGGCGGCTGGGATCCCCACCAAACTGCCTCCCTGCCCATCTGGCTCCCCCCACAATCCAAAGGTGAGAGGCTGCCTCCAGGCTGTGGCTGCCTCCCAGGAGAGCAGAGGGAAAAACTGATTGGAAATGTAAATGGGAAGAACCCAGGGCTCTGCCCCTTCTTCTCACACAGCCAGCGCCAGTTCAGCAGGACTCAAGACCCGGCCCTCTGGTCCCAGGGGCAAGAGGCAAGAAAACGAGGCTGGGCAGAATCCCTTGCCAGCACAGACAAGTGAATACCCTGTCCCGAACAGCGACCTTCAGGGTCCCCTGGAGCGGGGCTGGCAAGGGCCAGGTGCTGTGTACTCAGCCTCCCCCGGGGGCGGCCACAACTCCCCATGCTCCAAGAAGGGACAGCCGCCGAGGTTCAAGACCAGGCTGAAGCCCCTGGCACCCTTCCTGGCCCAGTGCGCCCTGGAAAGCCCACGCCAACGGGGTGGGTGGGGAGTGACTCCCAAATGAGCACCAGGTGGAAGGCAGGCGGCTGCAGGGTCTGCTTGAATAAAGGAGAGCTCGGCCGGAACTCGACTCGGCTGACTTGGTCTCTGCACGTTTTGTCGTCGTGCTTCCTCGAAAATTCTGCGTCCTTCTCTTTCCTCTCCCACTCCTCGGACTTCAAGGCCTGTTTATCCCCAGGGCGTCTCACAGCCCAGGCCAGGGGCCCCTCTCTCCACACAGAACTAAGGGGTGCGGGATGCAAGATACACACACACCTCGGAGCACCGATGGCAAAACAGAGGCCGACCAGGCAACTGAAAGGAGCGAGCAGCCTGGGAAGGGGCAGGCGTTCCCGCTGCATCTGATCGGAGACCACAGAAAGCCCTGTATGGGGGCGCGCGGCCCGTCTCCCTGGCCCTGCAGGTGATCTCCACCCAGGCCGGCGAGGACACGGACTCCAGCGCCGAAAAGCCCGCCGCCGCAGACCAGGAAAGCTCTGGTATTCTCCACCCCGATGCCCAGAAAGACGAAGCCAGGAGGAAGCCGGGCGCTCCTTGGGGAGAGCAGGAAACACAGATTTCAGCAAAGACCACAGCCAGTTTTAGTTTAACATCCATCCGTCCGGCCCTTGTGAAAATTAACCCAGGAAACCCTCCTTGTTACTGCTCGCCGGAAAAACCTACAAATCTCCTCCTAAGTTAGCTTTTTCTCTACATGTACATCTGCAAAAAGTGAATTTTGCCAAAGTCGGCGACAAGAACCCAGACCCTTCGATCCCGATGGGCTGGGCCTAGAAGGCAAGTGGCTGATTCGAGTCCAGCATCCCCAGGCAGGGAAACCGGATCTTGTCTTCAGTTGGTGAGCGGTGGATGCATTGTTTTCCCTCCACCACCCCGTCCTCTTTCTGTCATTTCTCGGCACAGGCAGATGTTCACCAGAC